TACAGTATTTTGGCACTTGTGTATAAAGTTAAAATCGTAAATAATATTCAACGTTAAACTGGTACACAATTAAAAACGTTGTAAAGTCGAAACATGTAGAGTCGTTAACTTTTTGAAGGCCATAGATAGGCCTAAATAAAATGTTTTTAATTGTGTACCAGTTTAACGTTGAATATTATTTATGACTTTAACTTTATACACAAGTGCCAAAATACTATAACAGTAAAAGTAACCACGCCAAGTGCAGCATTTGTTTCGTTGACTATAAGGTGACGACAGGACTATAATAGCAAGAGGGGAAGTTGAAAAGATTCTCATAAAAATGAATAACATAAGGGGATTTAGAATTAATCTCATCTGCACCAAAGAATCTCTCAAAGTTTCATACTGATTCTGGTTGAGAAGGTGGAAACAGTTTGATTACGGACAGAAAGACACAAGCTAATTTATAATGTAGTTGTGTTAACAGTTTTATTACGGACAGAGAGACACAAGCTCATTTATAATGTAGTTGTGTTAACAGTTTTATTACGGACAGAGAGACACAAGATGATTTATAGTGTAGTTGTGTTAACAGTTTTATTACGGACAGAGAAACACAAGCTGATTTATAGTGTAGTTGTGTTAACAGTTTTATTACGAACAGAGAGACACAAGCTGATTTATAGTGTAGTTGTGTTGACAGTTTTATTACCGAACAGAAAGATATAAGCAGATTTATAATGTAGTTGTGTTAACAGGTTTATCACGGACAGAAAGACACAAGCTTTTTATATTGACATTGTAGGCCTAAAGTAGCTAAAAGTTGAATGGTTACTGTATCTTCTGAAGATAAATCCAGAAATAATATTCTAAATTACTAGTTTTGATTAATAAACTTTCTCAAAGTAAAAGTTTTTTTTGGAAAAAAAATGCACAATGTTACCCCTCAAGTGTGTGTAGCATCCATAGTTTTGAATTATATATGTATAGACTTATGTTTCAACATATGTACATAAGTGTAAACTTGATAATATTTGACATGCTCAACAGTTTTCTTTACTTTTCACAGAGAAATGTGAAACTGTCAACATATGTTACATTCTTCGTAGACATTTATTGACTTAAGAAAACACAGATTTGTCATTCTAGTTTTGGAGAACACAATCAGTAAAATATTGTACTAACACACTTATGCTGTGACAATATTATCTTCGAGTCTTAGCTCAAACGAAAACTTACATATTATTTTATTCCCCTGTTAAGCTTAACTGTGTGAGATCTTATGATAAAAAGATAACTCTTTACAGCCTTCGTGATTATTATATTTAATATTTAAACAAAAAATGTTGAAAAATATTATTCTTCCAATGAAGTTTTGAAAATTTATTTGTAAATAAACCTTCAAATATTAAATCAAAATATTGTTAGCTCACCAGAGGGATTAGTGTTACTGAAAATGTCTCATTTAAATCATATCTAAGAAAATATGTTTATATAAAAATTCACAAAAGCGACAAAGAGTTCAGTAATAAAAGAAAAGGATCAAAGTTTAGTGAGGTTATCAGTACGGCTTGAATTGGATTTGTCCATTTATTAAGTTATTTCATTTTGTTTCAGTTGGTTATACTTTAGACTTGTTTTCTGTCGTGATCTCTAATCTTTCAAATTGAAAACATGGCGAAAGTGTGTGACCAATTAACTGAATATCAATCGTTAAGTGTTCACATTTTTTTCTGCAATTTTTCCCATTATAAGTATAATTCTTAATGTACTTTATTGAGCAACAACAACAAGTTAACTGACACATTTAACACATTTTATTTTGATACTGCCCCATTAAGGAAGAACCAAGGAAAGGATGAGTCAGTTAATCATTTTGTTAATTCTTTGCTTTAAACTTCACTGTGTCCATTTTCAACCAATGACAACTATGTGACTTTAGTTGAATAGTTCTAGTACAATCTAACGTACGGTTTTCAGACATGGCAAATAATAATGCTAAGTATTGTAAACGATACAGCAAATCAAGTGTAATAACAATAAGCCATTGTAAACTGAACTTTATTTTAACAATAATTAGCCTACATGGATCTTCTGACTTGAAATACAATTTAAGTATAATTATACGTCGATTGTCCTAATTCTAACATTTTATCTAGTAACTCCTTTTTCCTCTAAGTAATATAATGTCATACGTAATTAAGATATTTTTTATTGCTCCAAACATTGGCTAAAAAAAAAAAGAAACCCATTCAAAGACCAGACATGAAATATGGGCAGTGTTGGGTTTGTTTCGGGCTTCTCTTATTTTTTGAATACCAGGTCGCTTTTCATATGACTGAAGTCTCGCAATCCGAAAGGCAAGAAACCATTTATTTTTCAATGTCAGTATTTCCAGTAACAGCCTTTCTTTTGATAAACATAATTTTCTTTGTAGATTTGATGAAGTAGTAACTCGAAAAAAATGTGAAAAAATTAATTATTTTTTTGAATCTTTCAATTTCAATTTGAGGCTACTTTTTTTTTCTTTACTGGGGATACAACTGGACCCTCACCAGAACTTTGGGAGATCGGGTTTGAAGGTGGCTTAAGATCAACCTGGTCACAAATTGTCTTTTCGTCACATGTACCATTTACTGATGAAATTGTAAAGGTCTTTTCTAAAACTTTCTTACCGTTGTCAAAGGTTACTTCTGCAAGATGGGTTAGATTCTGTAAAAATTTCACTGCTTTCTCAAGAAGCCCCACAATTGACTTATCAACATCTACACCATTCTCGAGAATATCTATAAACTCTTCTGCTTCTTTCAGAAGTTTCTCACGGGTTTCGTCACAGCGTTCCAAGGTTTCCATGTTTTGAAAAAGTTCGTCACTTTGTTTTTTGTCTTTACCCAAAATCGTTTTAATCTTTTGACATTTGTTTTTGTTGATGAATGATCCTGCAGCAGTTGCTCCTCGAGAAGTTAACTCGCCAGCAGCCATTAAGGCAACGCCACCTGCAGTTAAACCTAACGAGAGACCGCCAGTAATAGGGGATAAAGACTCTCCGGCAGAAGCCACTTTGCCACCTAGTTTACCTACTTTGCTAGCAGAGTTAGCAATTTTTGATGATCTTGCACCAAAAGTGTTCTCTTTCAAGTAAGTCTGTACATTCTTGAGAGACTTAATGGATTTATCTCGTGTAGCAATCCAAACTGAAAAGTTTTCAATGAAATGCGCGCGAGCTGTTTCGTCTTCCTCAAGATACTTCTTCAATTCCTCGTGAATTTGTTTCATGCCTTCAAGTATGTTTTGACAGTCAGAACAGCTTTCTTGAAGGTTGTCATTTTTGAAATGTTCCTGTAAAGAGATAATGTATACGTGTGTTACTTTAACAATGTTTTATATTCAAAGCATTTCACGTTATTAAAAAACTAAACTAAAAATTTTATAATTGGTTCCAATGCCACTAACTGCCTTATTTTTCTCAAATCAGTTATGTTGATTACAATCAGAAACGACATCTAAAAATGGTCCAAATACTTATATCACTGTGGACGGGGTTAAATCTGCTGGACTGTGAGTCTGAGGTTTGGCGGTTCGTGTTCTGTGAAAGCAATAGGAAATAAAACAAGAACAAAAATAAAATACATCAAGCTACGTACTTTGGTTCGTTATAAGTATCTATCACTTCAACCTTTCCGATAGATTGCGCAGTTAACCCTGTAGCAGTTTCTTGTGAAACTTAACAACAAAACATATTTTCATTTTATCTGTAGGAACCTTTTCTAAATGTAATACAGATAATATCTGATACAGCAGTGTTATATCAGGATGTATCCGTGTGGTCAGAGTTTCTTAACTGTATCAGTGAAGTTCTACAAAATGTACGTGGTACTGTGCGCAGCGTTTTGATAGGTATAACCAGTACATAAAAGTACTTGAATGAAAGGTACTTTTTAGGCCCATTTAGATAAGGGTTGAAATAAATAAAAAAGGTTTAATGGGGATGCTTTTTAAAACCCAAGAAAATGAATAGTCTCACGATGCACATCTGATTACAAAAATGCATTGCAATCATGTGTTGATTGGTTAGTAATAAATTAAATTTATATGTAAAAAATATTATATTTGAACACCAAATGGAAATTTTAAATACATGCACGTATATAATCACAATAATCACTTCCAATAAATAAAAATTAATATATATATTAATAAAACTGGAGATATATCTAGTAATTTATAAAATTTGTAGGTTATGTGTTGTTTCACATTATTGTTGATGTTATCAACTTTGCCTGAGTGTTTTAGGTTCTGGCTGATAAGCGTTATTGTATATTGTTGTATTGGTTTC